CCCCCACCCCCAATCCAGTCCTGCCTCTCAGTGGCTCCTCTCTAATTCCGATTCTCCTGACACTTTTTTTCCAAACTGAGTGTGGATCCATGATAGGATTTGTCCTTCTCCCCCCCTCGATTCCTGTTTCAAACAGTCGAGCTCAGTACATGACCGTGGCAAACAAAATTTGTCGAGGTCAAAACACACACCCCACCCCCACTCCGTCCATTCCCCCTTCACATTTTGTCTCTCGAAACGTTTGCCATAAATGCGCACAAACAGAGAGAACTGGCTCAAAAGGAATGTCCTTTCTTTTTGGATCTTTGGCCACAAAAATGTAAAAACAAATGTAGTCCAGATCCATCATTTCATGAATTTCCACCCCTCTTAGGATGCATTGATGCCTCTCTGCTGATAACCACGTTCCATCTTACAGGTCGTTTACTTCTCGGCCACGTACCCTTACTTCATGCTGTTCATCCTCTTCATTCGCGGCGTGACTCTACCCGGAGCTAGAGAGGGGATTTTGTTCTACATTACCCCCGACTTCGAAAAGCTGAAAGAATCGGAGGTAATGACATGTTATATTATCTGATTCCTGCCTCCGTGGCTGCATGCCTGAGCGAGCAGAGCGTCGGCCTTGATGCGCGCCTGAGTTTCTCTGTTCGCTTTCCTCCCCGACAGGTATGGCTGGACGCGGCCACCCAGATCTTCTTCTCTTACGGACTGGGTCTGGGGTCGCTCATAGCTCTGGGCAGCTATAACACGTTCAATAACAACGTCTACAGGTGAGACTGCTGAGGCAAAGACGTTCGGTGATGGCTGACAAATGCTGCTGCAAAAAAATGGCTAATGAATCAAAGCAAGAGACTTAATAAATCTAATATAAGTGAATTTTTGTCATCAGTATCTTATTAAAGCCAAGGTTTTCGGTTAGTGTTTCCTTGAGCAGCGTCATGCTTCTGGGTCACAGTCGGTTACATAAAACTTGTGCATTCAGTTCATTTTTTGTAAGCTACATTCTTCTTCCTGCCATATTTATATAAATGATTTTTATAGTTTTATTTAATTTAAAGATAAAATAGGTTTATATCTGCAGAAAAATGTTGTGAAATAAACCATCACAAAGAGCTCCTACAGCTACTCTTTTACAGTCTTTTGCAGTTTTTTTTTTATCTCCGGAAAAGTTCAGCATAAAACGTGGAGGGAGAAACGTCAACTTAAAGCTTTAACACCAGCCCCCATTTTATATTCCCTCTCCCCAGAGACTCCATCATTGTGTGCTGCATCAACTCGTGTACCAGCATGTTTGCTGGCTTTGTAATCTTTTCCATTGTTGGCTTCATGGCGCATGTGACAAAGAAAAACATCGCGGACGTAGCAGCTTCAGGTAACTGCAGACGGATCTGTTTCTGTAATGTTTCTGTCTCACATTTTCTGCTGTTCTGTCACTGATGCAGCTTTTCTTTTTTTTTTCTTTTGCACGATTCTACACGAATCAATGTCTTTGTAGTCCTTAGAATGATCAAACTGACACTACAAATGTTTCTGTTTACGATCCAGGCCCTGGCTTAGCTTTCCTTGCGTACCCGGAGGCTGTGACCCAGTTGCCTGTCTCACCTCTCTGGGCCGTTCTGTTCTTCTCCATGCTGCTCATGCTGGGGATAGACAGCCAGGTAAAGGGGGGGGGGGGGGGGGCTTGCTGATGATCTGCTCATGGGCTGACCTAAATATTTTCAAAGCAGTTATAGTTCAGGTAGCCCACCTCTGCTCCTGCCTACACGATAAAAGACCTGCAGTTTCCCCCTTTTGTGGACAGACGTGGCTGGGCTGACATTAGCTGTCAAGTATTTTTAAATGCAACTTTATCACCTCCGTGTGCCCACCGGATCTGCTTTGGGGGTTCTTTATTTCATGCGTGATTTAAATAAGGTCGCGCTGACCGTGACCACGCACACTTCAGAGTGAAAGACGGGAATTACAACCCTGTTCTAAATGTCATAGCAACAGCGCTTTTCCGTATTACTTAATAGGCTCACGGAAAAGAGTGTGCTCGGTTAACGGGGTTATCACAATAATGTTTTAACCATGAGCACACCGCAATGATTTCTTTCTCTCTTTCCATATGGTTTGGGGGGAAAAAAGATATGCTCCCAGATTTCTGCAAAAAAATAAATGATCGTTTTCCTCTTCTGAAGAGCCTTTGTGTGGAGAAATCTGAAAGCACAGAGATGTGAGCACACGGCGTTCCGTTTAAAAGGTGTTTATGTGATTCTGTCCTTTCAGTTCTGCACCGTTGAAGGCTTCATCACTGCCCTGGTGGATGAGTTCCCCAGGGCTCTGCGAGGCAGACGAGAGATCTTCATCGCTGTTGTCTGCCTGGTGTCGTATGTGATCGGACTCTCAAACATCACACAGGTACAGCAGTGAGATCTGACTCTTCAGGGTCTATTTATGCTAGTTTGGGTTCTGTCAGAGCACATACTCTGAGCGTATCTGGCAGCATGATGGTTCAGTGGTTAGCATGGTTAGCACAGATGCCTCACAGAAACAAGGCTCTAGGTTCGATCCCCAGTTCTTTTCAGGGTCGTTCTGCGTGGAGCTTGCATGTTCTCTCCATGCACATGTGGGTTTTCTCCAGATACTCTGGTTTCCTCCAACAGACCAAAAATGTGCATTTTAAGTTGTTCATTGCAAAAACGATCTGTGATCTCGATGGGATTTGCTTGGTTAAATAAAAATTAAAAATTAAATATCTTGACTTTAGGTATTTTTTTCTTAAACCTCTCCTTTTTTATATTTTGGACTTAGGGTGGAATCTATGTGTTCAAACTGTTTGACTACTACTCTGCCAGTGGGATGTGTCTGCTGTTCTTGGTCTTCTTTGAGTGCATCTCCATATCCTGGTGTTACGGTGTGTACTGTGATCATTTGATGCACACATTACATTACAAACTATACAAACTATATTAAAATGTGGTTTTTGGAAGATTTTTTGAATATTAATAAATGCAGAATGCCCATGGCCTTTCATTCCAATATTTTTAACCAATCAATCTAATGATGGTGTTAAAAAACAACAGATTTATGGTTGTTTTGGTTAAAATTTCCAAATAATAAATGTGATAAGATCTCATTCATTCTGTTGGTGCTCAAATTATATTTTGGGGATGATTCTCAGCTACTAATTTTGGTTAAAAAAAATCTCTAAAATTGGCTGTGTTATACCTATTTGTATGATTTTTAAGATCAGTTCGCTGTTGTAGTCCTTGAATGGAGCTGACTCCAAAACTTATTTAACTGTAATGGTTAATTTCAGAGCTTAATTTATGTGTCCATGAAATATTTTGTTAACAGGCAAATTAATACACACAGACAAAGGCAACTGCATGATTACCCGTCTTTCAAGGCGGACGGCATAAAGAAAGCAGACATTTATGTTAATCGTGGATCTAATCTTCTGGCAGGTGTAAACAAGTTCTATGACAACATCCAGGAGATGATCGGCTACAGACCGTGTATATGGTGGAAGCTGTGCTGGGTCGTGTTCACCCCTCTCATCGTGGCTGTGAGTACTTTGAGCTAATAGAACAGTACATTTAAAGTCATGACACGAAAACTGAAACAATAGATAAAGTCAATATTACCTGCTCGCAGCCACGCCGGGCTGAGACTGTGCTGCCTGCAGTCAGACATGTCAGGATGCATAAAGCGCCTCATGTCTCCCACAGGGGGTGTTCTTGTTCAGCGCCGTCCAAATGGTTCCTCTCACGATGGGAGAATACGTGTTCCCGGGCTGGGGTCAGGGAGTAGGTTGGCTCATGGCGCTGTCCTCTATGGTTCTCATACCAGGATACATGGTGTATATGTATCTTGGTCTCAAGGGCACTTACAAGGAGGTAAGAAGAGAATCATTTGTTGTTTTGTTGGATAATAGAATTTGTTGACAGGTATTTACAGAGTCGCTTATTATATTGGATGTTTTTTCTTTCCAACAGCGATTTCGAATAATGTTTCAGCCTCCTGCAGTCACCAGGCGATGTCAGGAGAATGGGCCTGAGCAACAAATGGAAACCAACACTGCTAATTTATCCAGCCCCACCAATCCCGCCAGCGCTGCTCCCGCAAACCCCGCCAGCCCCACCAATCCGGCTCCAGCTAACTCAACCAGCCCGGTGACGCCCGCTAATGTAGCCCTGCCCCCGACTAATCCAGCCTCCGCTTCTAGCCCGGTGACGAGTCCTACCGCCACCATCACTACCACAGTCACCACGACCAGTCCAGCTAACCCCCCCACCACAACTGTTAGCCCAACCAGCCCACCTCCCAAGCCAACCAGCCCAACGGAGCCCGTCAGTCCCCCGAACCCAACCAGCCCAACTTCTAACGTGACCAAGGCCGAGGCCAACGTGTAGTCAGCAAAGAACCACCCCTCCCTCGAGAAGCATTTAGGCAAAAAAAGGAAAAAAAACATTGTAAAGGACTTCTAAGATTTTAATTGATTCACCTACCTCCGAGGGCAATATGTGATCAAAACCGATTTCCAAATCACGTTTCCTTTTTCTGCGTTTGTTAAATCAAGCCAATGATGTCTTATTGTTGGTTTACATCCTGAAAACAAATTCAAGACTGTTAGTGTTGACAAACTACAACCGTGATTCTGAATTTAAAAAAAAAAGATAAAAACAATGTAAACATACTGTGTAATACTGTGAGAAAAGACCGGAAAAAAACCCTTAGAGATATAGATTAGAGATTTGTTGAATATCTTCATGAATCAAGTAAATACCGTGTGACTATAGTAGATTAGGTAATTAACAAACTTGACATAGAAGCGTGCAAGGAATGGTGTCAATTTTTCGTGGATGTTTACTGAAACTCACACAGTTGTCTCTTCTCCAAAACGTTACTCTCTGTGAGTTAAACTACAAGCTGCGAGGCAAACAAGGCGCGCTGAGTAAGCACAATTATAGGAAGAAGTTTAGGAGAGGGTCATCCCTTGTTCTCTAGTTCCTGTTCTCCAGTACCTATGTTGTCTCGTGGTTAATAATGCTTGGCTCCCCTTTCAAATGTCTTTTAATACAAATGGAAAAAATACTGAATCACAATGCAGGTACATATTCCGTTTACCAGTAACTAACCCTCTTAACACTTGGCCCAGATACCTCAAAAGAATGACGGCCCTTGGCTGGCCCAGATGTGGTTTGCCAAAGGTGGTCCATGCATGGGCCTGCACCACGTAAACCAAACCGCAACTGAGACAGTGGTGGCAATCCGCCTTAAAAACAGCACCATTACTGCCAGACCTGGCCCATATCTGGTTGACAAAACTTGACACCAGATCTGGCCCACACCTATCTGCTATGTTCACACTATAGGTTTTAACACTCAGTTTCAAATTTTTTGTATATACAAATATTTATATACACAAAAGTTTGTAATAAAAACTTATGTTCGATTTTAAACGCGACCACCATATGACTCCAGTGTGAACTCTCCACTGCCCTGATGCGGCCTGCATGTGCAGAAAATTGTTGTCATATTGAGCTCTCTGTTTACAGAAGTGGGCTAAGAATGGATGCTACATGTTAGCATGTCGATTCGTGTGTAATTAGAGCAGATTAAATAATTATCTGACAAGCTTGTTTAGTTCACTCTTTACATTTGAAGCTGTCTCTTGCCAGCTGCTCCGACGCAGCATTTTACTCTTGGAAAAGGAGCAAATTGGAGTAAAGTATTAATCCAGTAAATTTAGTACTGACTTGCTCCGAGACCAACATTACTATCATATATACGGGGAGAACATAGGGTACCTATGTTCCCCAGTAACTATGTAAGCCAAACATCTTTCCTGCCTTTCAGTAATAACCCAGGACAACATAGGTACAGAGGAACATAGGTGCCGGTGAACAAAAATACCAGGGAGCGTAGGTACGCTCCAGTTTAGGAGCAATCTGGTTATTGTTGCAAAAATTTTTTTTTTTGTGTATGTGTGAGAGAGACTGTTATTTTCCTTCCTTTTTTCTGTGAAAATAACAAAAAAAAAAGAAGAGATAAAAAAATTTTATGTGATCAGAGCATTTTTAGAATTATTTTTAGGATGTTTTATACTATATATATAAATATATATGTTGTAATGGAGGACCAAAATTAATAGGCAGACAAAAGCAAAAACTATGCCGTTTAGTATTCGGTTGGCAAAGCACAGGGTACAATACTATTCAAAAAAAAAAAGAAGACGATGAAGAAGCACAGGGTTAGGAAAGTGATTTACTAACATCGACTATCCCTTATAATGCTGACAGTCAATCCTGTTTACGTTTTTGCATGTTTTTCCTCAGGAACAAAAGTTTCTCAAAATGTCTCCTGACAAAGAAAAGAAGAGAGAAGGCCTTAAGCCAACATACAAAATTTTAGCCAAGCCATAGTCTATTTACATGACTGGGCAGAAACTATGAAATACCACTTTGTACTCTAGCACAAAAAAATGAAAAAAAAAGGAAATAAAAGATAGCGGTACCAACTCTGTGTTAAAGTGCAGTCATGGTTTTTTACTTTTCTGTATGTGTCATGATCGTAGTTCGATCAATATGTATTCAGCAATACATATGTAGATGTTCGAGTGCAGGCCGGTCAGCAAGTGGGTCTGTTTCTCTTTCTGTTGTCTTCGCTTTGACTTGAGTGAGAAGCACAAAGCTTTAACTTCCCCAGACGTGTTGCTATATAATGGCGTGTTCGGACAATGTTAGTTTGCTTCTATGGCAGCTACCGTGAAAGGCATCCGGTTTTATGTTGAAAAGCAAAACAACTCGAGTGAAAATGGGAAATGGCTCCGGTTCATGTCCTGTGAATTTTGTATAAAGTTCCTCTTGCCGCAGTTTTTTTCTCTGGAAGTTTGTTGTAAAACCGTACCGTGTAAAACATGTAACTGTGAATGTCCGTATTACATTGGAAGTTATTGTCTAAATGTTGAAAAAAAAATGGAGTTGCTGTTTTACTGCAATAATATTTTGACCACAGAAGCTAAAGCACATATCTTACAGAAGTATAAGAAACGATGATGACAATGAGAAGATACTGATGATTATATTAAAATAGAAACTATGTCTAGTTAAATTATATTGTTTTGTATATTTTTATGTCTCACTGCCTAATGTAAAACATAATATAAACATGATATGTATCTAAATGGTGTCAAATGATAAAGCACGATTGTTATGTTATACAAACAGAAAAAAAGACTGAAAAAATAAAGAGTTATAGAAATTATAAATACAACACATGGCTGGCATATGTCCCTAAAAACAAGTGTTTATAATTTAGCAACATTTCTGGTATTGTTGCTAGAAAATTAGGTCAACTATCTTATTAAAAGTTGTATGCTGCTCTGAATCCCCCTGCAGTTAATGGCTGTTGTTTCCTCTCTTGTAAATAAACCCATGTCCATGGAGTATTTCCAGTCAATAGATATAAGAAGAACAGCAGAAAAATAAAATAACGAGGACATAATTAGGTAGAGGAAATGCAAAGTTCAGTTTCTCTCCTGGTTTAATTTACAAGACTTTTTCTCAGTTGATTAAGGTCAAGACTGCATCCAGGGCGACAGCTCTTAGAATGAGGTTCTTAGGAAAAATGTGAACAACAAACATCTTACGTGTTGCAGATAGCTCTTCGATTGGTCTCACTTTGGAGAAATGGTCTAATTCTGAACAAACTGACGAGCTAACAGATAGTTAAGATGAATGTGGATCACTGCTGTGTTAAAATTATTTAAAAATTTCATGCTAATTCGCGTAAACAGTTTTTCTCTCTTTACATCACTGCCAGAATGCACAGGATGTGCTGAAGGTAGCCAGTAATGGAGTTTGCAGATAACTACAGCTTAGTTTTTGGTATAAGCATATAAAAAATACTGCAAAATTGTCTGCCATATAAAGGTTTGCAAACAGTGTTTTAAATTTACCCTGCTTTTTTTTTAAAATGAGTCAAAGAACCATCCACAACCGGTAAGATATTGATTGTTTATAACGTTTCAAGAGAACCCCACGTCTGTCACTCTAATTCTGTCAGGTGGGGATGTTAGAAAAAGCAATTGTTACAATAAAAAAATAAAAGAGATAGAAGAAACATGATTGAATTTCTCTGTGTGATTTATTGAGCATCAGAAAGACACACCGATAGAGAGGCTTCAGAAAAAAAAGAAAAAAGAAACATCACCACCACAAAACAGATTCAGCCTCGAGGCCTGGCGTGTCCGCCTGCCCCATCTCCACAGTCTCTTAGGTTTCTGTCTGCGTGTGTTCGTTTGTGTGTGTCTGCACCCCCCACCTCCTGCAGTTGTTGCTTCCATTAGCTTCCAGTGTGATAAAAGAGACGGCACCAGCTGACACCACCACAATGACTCGCCGTGGATGAAAGAATGAGATGTCCCCTCTAGTAGCTCATGGCAAACTGTGTGTTTGTAAGATGCGAGTGTGTGTGTGTGCGTGCGTGTGCGTGTGTGTGTGTGTGTGTGTGTGTGTGTGTGTGTGTGTGTGTGTGTGTGTGTGT